TGCATGGTGCACAACCCACCGATAGTTGATGATCCTGTGATATCTATGGTCTGGATGAGACGGGGTTCCACTCTCGGGTCCGAATACGTCCTCTTAGCTTCCGTTTTTTTGGGGGGCGGGTGTTGACCGCGGAGCATCGAGATCCAGGGCGAGGTTAGTAAACTCAGATTGAATAGTGGGAATTCATTCTGAATTGGGCAATGGGTGCCCAGAATACCTCCAGCACTTCACGTCTTTGGTCCGTACAACACTTCAAATTGAACTTGAAGTTCAAACACGCTCACTCTGCTACGGTGTTGAAAAAGTCGGCCGCCAGGAATTTCAAGCACACCGACCGACACACCTACTCGGCGCTAGGTTTGAGGCCAAGGACTCGGACTTTGTGTATGGTGCACGGCCCCCACTCGTTGCAGTTGTGAGGTCCTGAACTACGGGTTCGATTCCCCGAGTTCGGGTATTCACGGATAATTGCTATCTTTTCCTGCGCTACTCCGGCCGGTTCAATTTTGTGAAGACAACAGAGGGGGAGAATGGACGTTGAAACCGAAGATTTTGAACCAATGAAACTCAACCGGCAACTCCCGGCCGTTCTCCCCTGCAGATCGAGCGCCGCACCCAGCGGCTGCAGCGCCGCGCATTCTCCGCGCATCCTCGCTATTCACTGCCCGCTCTCTTCTCGGACGTACCTCGGTCTCATTCTCCGCGCCCGCCGGCCGCCGAACAAGCTCCTTATCTACCTACCTCGCTCCCTCCCGCGGCTCCGTTCATGACCACCACAATTTTACATTCCCCTCTGTTTAGATTGGCATCCCATATGAGGACGATCACGCAGGCACCGCTAGCCTGGCAAATGTGCAGCTGAAGCCATATATTCAGCTGCTGAGGCCGCCCCGGACAATTCCAATTTTCTGGCTTTATACACACACTGGGTCTCCATGCTCGCCACAAACGCGCGGTGCGAGACGCCAACGAAACGAGCTTCGGTCCTTCCCCAATGGCGTCATGCTTATGTCGTCCCGGATCTCGTGTGTGGCGGTAGTGTTCCAATTAGACTGTAGGAGGAGTCCACTCTGAGGCATGAAACTTAGGTTCAACCGAACTTGAACCGTGGGAAATTATGGAGTGGAGTCTGAACGTTTGTACAACCCTTCCTGTTTCCTTTTCTACTAACTTACTATAGACACATAAGAATTGAGAATACGACGCCTATGCTCGACCCGACCACTGGTAGACGGATCATTGCCGTCGTCCTCCAACGAAGAAATTGAACCACAGCAGGCAATTCGATTTTGGCCCAAAATCGACTCGCTCAGTGGCTGAGTTGGCCTGGTGGACACGCACTTTCACAGCTCTTCATGCTTCCACTCCGTCCTCTTACGACTCAGGGTAGCTCAGGGTACTTTTGCCGCGTGTAATGGAGTGCATGCCGTATCGGCAGACGCGCATATTCAAGCCACTCAACGGCACCACCATCTTCCAACCGCACTGAAGTCTGAAGCTCGTATCCACTCAGAATATCTTGCGGGTGGCTGAAGCCTGTCCGGTACATCACCGATTCGTGCGGTGAGAATCGGAGTTTGGACTTGCGCGGCCGAACGGCATCAAGCGGCCGAGGTGGTTCGTTTGTGTCATCGTAAAAATGCTGACATCTGCATTCTCTCCGCAACCACGACATGTCGCGGCACCTTCAACTCTACTGGGCCTGACAGACGCGAACTCGTTTGCTCTGGCGCGTACGCTGCCGCTGACTGCTTGCGCTTATCTTGTAGACCTACTTAATGGCTGATTTTCCTGTCCATCTTGTCCATCCCCATGTCTCAACTCGACAACCACAAACCCTCCATGGATGGCGAGAAGGTACCAGTCCTCGAGGAGGAAAAGGAATCCAGTACGGTCCTCAGCGGCATGAGGCTAGTCGTCGTCTTCATCGCCCTGATGCTCTCCCTCTTCCTCATCATGCTGGACCAAACAATCCTGGCAACCGCACTCCCCCCGCGTCACCTCGGACTTTCATGCTTTCAACCTCCAGGGCTGGGTCGCCACCTCCTACCTCGCTCAATCCGTATTCCTCCTCTTTTACGGCCAAGTCCTCCGCATATTCCCCGCAAAGTGGGTGCTCGTCTGTGCGATCGGGACGTTTGAGGTTGGGAGTCTGCTGTGTGGCGTCGCGCATAGTATCGGGCAGCTCATTGCGGGGAGGGTCGTGGCTGGGGTGGGAGCAGCGGGAATCAGTGGGTTCCGAGTGCTTCCTCGTGTGTATCTGTGCTGGACAATCCTTCAGTGGTCTCGATGATGCAAGTTATCACCCACGCTACGCGCCTCGAGGACCGCCCTAAATTCTACGGCGCGTTCGGCGCTTTGTTTGCAGTTTCCTCAGTGCGGTCCTGACCTCCTTCTATGACCTCGGCTGACTCCCGCCTTCCAGGTCATTGGCCCTCTCATCGGTGGAGCAATAACGGAGCATGCTACATGGGTGCGCGCGTCCCTCCTTACTATATTTTCCCTTCGCTGACGTTGTTACAGAGATGGGTGTGTTGTGTTCCCTCCCTCCCCGTTTCACCAGCTCACAGCCCCAGAATTTCCTCCTGAACCTCCCGCTCGGCGGAGTCTCCGTCTGCGCTGTCATTCTCATACTGAAGGCAGCGCCCCCTCTGGGATCAGACCCCACGCAGCGTTCCGCCCGCGCCCGTCTCCACCAGGCGCTGCGGCTCGACTTTGTCGGCGCGACCCTTGCGGCCGGCGCCTTGATTACCCTCATCCTCGCGCTTCAATGGGGCGGGAACACGAAATCTTGGGGCGACAAGGACATCATAATCGTGCGTCTACCGTCCCTCCCACTTTCCTTGACTAGTCATTAATGCTCCTGTCACTAGTGTTTCGTGATTTCGCCGGTCCTCACCGCGGCCTTCATCGCCTGGTCTGTGTATCAGGGCGACCGCGCCATGATGCCCACCGCCATCTTCAAGTCGCGCTCAATGTAAGCAACTCCTCCCTCCTTGCCCCGTTGCGTTGTTGGTTGACAAAGGACCGCAGATACGCCATCCTCGTCTTCTGCTTCCTCAACCGCTTCTCTATGTTCATCTTCACCTACTACATCCCGCTCTTCTACCAGGCCGCGCGCGCACACTCGCCCACCAAGTCGGGCGTCGACTTCCTCCCCTTCATGATTGGGGTCGTCATTACCGCCGCCCTCGCTGGCGGCGTCGTCGCCAAAACAGGATACTAGTGCGTCCCCCAGTCCCCTCCCCCCTCCCCTCTCTTGTTCCCTTCCTTCCTCCCTTCACCCTTACCTATTTCGTGGCCACCATACAGCTGGCCCGTCCTCCTCGCCGCCCCCTGCTTCCTCGCCCTCGGCAGCGGGCTCTTCTACACCATCACCCCGACCACCTCGTCCGCCGCGCTTGCGGGGTTCCAGATCCTCGTCGCCGTCGGCGTCGGGCTGGGGTTCCAAAACGCCGCGCTCGCGCTGCAGGTCGAGTTCAACGACGACAAGGCGCTGCTCGCGCAGGCGATGGCGATGGGGGCGTTTGCGCAGCAGCTGGGGGGAACTGTTGGTTTGGGTGCGCCGCCTCGCGTTATTTTCTTTTTGTGTTCGCACAGTGCTGATTGAGAGCGCACTACACACTACATACACAGGTGTCGCCGAACCGATATTCGCATCCCAGCTCGCGCGCAATCTTTTCAAATACGCGCCCACCGCGCCCGCCGCCCTACTCGAGCAGGATGCGACCGCGATATACGCGCTGCCGGAAGACATGATACCGGGTGTGGTGAGAGCGTATACGGACGCTGTGCAGATGCTGCTGTTTGTGGCGGGGATGGGGGTGGGTGCGGGGGGCATGGGGCTGGCGGTGTGGGGGATTGGGAATGTGAGGATTGAGAAGACTGGGGATGGGGGTGGTGGCGCGCGGCGCCGGTGGGAAGCCTGTTAGAGAGAAGGGGGAGGGGGTGGGGGAGGTGTGATGGGTTGGACCAACGACTTTGACCGACCGACCGCGAGGTTATACATGATGTTGAATTTTGTGGGGGCAGGTAAAGTTGAACCTTGGGAACTTGGGTATAATTTCGCCAAATACAATTCAAAGTGCTGGGTATACCACGCCTGAAATCTAAGCCAATGACTCAGATCTGGTGCATGGCGCACCATCCTGGTCGATGATCGATATTTTCTATCTACTGGGGCAAGACGGGGTTCGATTCCCTGGGTCTGTATCATTCTGCTTTGCTCGTTTTGGAGCGTAAAAGTTTGAACACATCACCATTTGCCGCGGGTCCGGGAAGGTTAGTAACGAGCTTGAACCGCAGGAAGTTCGAAATTCAGATTGCAGAAAAGACTCCCAACCTTCAAGGCAAGGTGCTTTAATTGGCATACCACCACACCTGAAATCATAGGCAATAACTTGGATCTGGTGTCACTATATGGCGCACCATCCTGGTCGATGGTCCGGCCGATGCTACAAGACGGGGTTCGACTCCCCGGGTCCGACTTTCAAGATACGCTTTGAGCTCTCCTTGTGCGGGGGGCACGTTTGAACATTTTGTTGTGCTTTACACTCCGCGGGGCCAGGTCAGTAACGAGGTTGAACCGTGGGGACTCGGTTCGACATTTGAATTGCACAGAAGACCTTGCTTAGAGGCATGCCACACCACTACCACACTTCAAACAATAAGTACTAGGAATTGGATCTGGTGTACGGTGCACACCCCACACCAATGATGCCTGAACACTTTCTTAATATGGATCAATTGGGGGAAGACGGGGTTCGATTCCCTGGGTCCGAATTCTTCACTTCGTTTGGAAGCTTTTTTAGCATTGAATTGTCACTGTGGACGTCCACGTAAGTAGTTTGAACCGCCACATCGCCATTTACACTCCACAGGGCTGGGGAGGTTATTAACAATATCGAACCGTGGGAACTCGGTTCGAAATTCACCTTGCACAGACCTCCTCGCTTAGAGGCATGCCACACCACTTACTACACTTTAAATAATACTAGGAATTGGATCTGGTGTATGGTGCACACCCCCCACCGATAATTGATGATTATATGAATGAACTGGGGGAAGACGGGGTTCGATTCCCCGGGTCTGACGGAAGTGTGGACTGGTTGTATCTCGGACATTTGAACATTTCTTCATGGTTTACCGTTCGCGCGGGGCCGGGGAGGTCAGTAACGAGGTTGAACCGTGGGAACTCGGTTCGAAATTCAGATTGCAGAAAAGACCTCCAACCTTCAAGGTGCTTTAATTGGCATACCACCGCACCTGGAAGCATAGGCAATAACTTGGATCTGGTGTACAGTGCACCATCCTGGTCGATGGGTCAAGCCAATGCTTGCTATCAACTGGGGAAGACAGGGTTCGATTCCCCGGGTCTGAATTACGGGTTCACAGATATTTTTTGGTGTGATAAATTGTATAAGTAGTACGTTGGTGAAGTGTAACGATGTTGAACCGTGTGAACTGAATCCCAGAAGACCCCGAAGGCATGCCACTACCACACTTCAAACGATAAGTACTAGGAATTGGATCTGGTGTACGGCGCACACCCCCCACCGATAGTAAATTGAGATACCTATATGAATGAACCGGGGGAAGACGGGGTTCGACTCCCCGGGTCCGAATTGGCATGTCTCGTGGATGTTTTTTTTTTCGAGGATTGATTTTTTTGTAGGCGTCCGCGTAAGTAGTCTGAAAGAGTCTGAACCGTCGCGTCGCCATTTAGGAGGTTGGTAACGAGGTAGAACCGTGAGGACTTGGGTATATTTCCTTGAAGGTGCTGGGTATACCACACTTCAAATCCTGAGGAATAACTCGGATCTGGTGTACGGCGCACCATCCCAATGCATTCGTAATTTCCTACCAGGGAATGAGTTGCTGGGATTAGACGGGGTTCGACTCCCCGGATCCGAATAACTTCGCAGCGGTCTTGTTTTTAAATTATCTTTTTATCGGTGTTGAGGACAGAGCGCGGGGTATCCACTGACAGGAGTAAGTAGTTTGAACGGTAATGCCAGTCCAAGGTCGAGGTGTACTTATGCAGATATGGCCCGCCAGCCTCAGCTCAAGTCAGACTCGTGTGGTACACGGTCGCCGAAGCTCAGTTGGATGATACTAGTAACTGGGCAAGACGGGGTTCGACTCCCCGTGGTCCAATGTGATCGTGATACCGACAGTTTTTGCTTCGTTGGTTTTGACGTCTGAGACGATACTTATTTCAAGGTACGCTGCTTTGTTCCTAGTAGTCGTGGGTTGGTGTTGAAAAAGTTGTTGACCCCGAAGAGTCTCGGAGTCGGGGACCGGAGTACATCACCTTGGATAGCTTACTGTACAAGCACACGGAGAAGGGTATACCAGGGCCTGGTTGAAACCAGGGACTCGGACTTTGTGTATGGTGCACGGCCCTAGTCGTTTCACCCGGGTCCATTAGAGTCTAGATTGCACTGAACTTCGGGGTTCGATTCCCCCACTTCGGATACTCCTGCAAGAAAGCTGTTTTTCCTCCGCCGGCTCGAATTTGTGAAGAATGCGGGACAAAAAAGTAAAGCGGGGAGAATGGACGGCGCGAAGGTTTTGAACCATGAAACTCGACCGGCAACTCGCGGCCCTATCACGCATCATCGCATCAATTGATGTTGTTGTTGCTCATCGTCGCTCCACTCTCGGCCTCCCTCCCCGAAAAATCGCTCGCCACTCCTTCATCGTCCTCCCCTCCAAACGACGAACAGCGAATCGAAGGGTTATTATAAATGTCATCTCGTGAGTCTTTCAATCGCCGCTCCGTTATCTCCGGCTTCGGGGGTGCCTCGCCTCGCCTCGCTGCGATGCTGGTTTTTTTACGTCCTAGACTCGCTCCTGTCTTGCGTACACAGTCCATAGACGTCGAGCACCCCCATGTCGTCCACGTCAACGACGAGCGCACTCCCCATCGTCCCCGCACCCAGCGACCCCACCACCTCCCTTTCCTCTGGTCTCCTATCCCTTCCCATTATCTTTACTCCACACCCGCTAACTAACGCTTTCTTTCTTGTGCCCCACAGCTATAAGCCCAGACCCCCTCTCGGGTCTGCCCTCGGGGTCAAGCGCCCCCCCAGCGAGCGCCTCCAGCGCCGCGCCCTCTGGCTCCGCGCCCCCTGCGAGCGGAAGCGCACCGCCCGCTAGCGGCAGCGCGCCGCCCGGCTCGAGCGCCCCTGCGCAGCCGAGTAGCGCTAGTGCGAGCGCGACGGTGTTGACGTCGCCGAGTGTTACCGTGCAGCCGAGTGTGATTGTGTGAGTCGCTTTCCTGCGTCTGCTCTGCTCTTTTTCTTTCTTTCTTTCGTTCGTTCGTTGTGCTTGGCATGTCTCGCATTTGCACGGGACTGGCTATCAATGCGATATTGGAAGTCCATTGGTAGTCTCGCACCCACGGACGCCGCACATGCCAGCGCTGGACGCCCTCCTCAAATTTGGCGCACCCACGGGCCCACGCGCCACGCCCGCTCCACATGCTTCGGCACGCCCCACGCCCACGCCCGCTCCACGCGCATCCACACCGCATCCTCACCGCCCCCTGCTGCCCGCCTTCTCCTCGGACGTACCCCGGTCTCACTCTCCGAACCCACCCGTCATACAAGCTACCTCGCTCCCGTCCCGCCAAACAAGCTACCGCGCTCTCATCCCGCGGCTCGGCCCTATCCGTCTATTTCCATCGCCACACATACGAGGACGCACACGACGGGCCAGCCTCCCGAGCCCCAAATCCGAATAGAAGGCTACGATACCTCCAGCTATTGCTGCGGCCGCCACGGTTATTCAATCCAAGATTGGATTTGGATTGGATTACATTGGATTGGATTGCGTGTGCTGGCTGCCAGGTCGGTCTCCGTCTCCGTGCCACAAACGCGTGTCGACATGAATCCATATCCATCGACCCTGGTCCCCGTCCTCGCGCGTTCCAGGTGTGGATGGATGGATGGCCGAAGGGACGCGCACGCATGTCCGCGTAGAGGCGCCTCCTGCGAGGGTAGGGCGGTGGTCTCCTCGTCGTCGCCCCAGTATTCACGCGCCTCCACCCCCCGCGCCCGGTCATATCCCGCGCATACCGTCGCATCACACTCGGCGCATTCAACTCCTACTCGCCCACTTCCTACCTACCACCCGACCACCGCTCACCGCGCCCGCCCATCCCCTCCACCGCCTACCGCGCCCGCCTATCCCCTCCACCACACCACACGCCCTGCCCCTGTGCCCGTGTTGTCGTCGTCCCTATCTCGTCGCTCGCCGTCGCCCGCCCCCCGCCATCTTCATCCCCGTCTGCGCCCTCGTCCTCGTCGTGCTCGTCTCTCGCGCAGGCCAGCGGCGCTGACGTCATCCTGCGTCCTCGTCTGTTCGGCGCGCGTGGGACCTCTACCCCCACCCTCCTTCTCGCGTTGTCCATGTCGATGTCGTTGTCGATGTCGTCGTCGTTGTCGTTCTCCAGCCTCAGCCTCAGCGTTTCGAGGACGAGGACCACGGGGCGAGCGGCGCTCGACTGCGCAGGATGGCTATACTTTATTTTGGAGGAGGGCAGGAGGGCGGGCGACTCGGGCGACTCGGGGCTGGGCGCTTACTCGTACTCGCCGACTTGAGTGCAGCGGCGGCAGGCCTGACCGATGGCGGCCGGGCGGACGGATGGAGGGACGCACGGCACAAATGGTGTACTCGTCCGATTGGATTGGGATTGGAGTGCACCCCATCGTATGCGTGCGCGGACGAGGACAAGGACCTTTGTCGAGCTCGCAAGCGCTTTGCTGCCCTGTCTTGCCCTTTGTCGTCGTAGGGGCGGGCGGGGCGAGGCAGCAAGGCGGTGATGACGTCATACATTCTGCTTCCTCGTTCTCTTTGGCAAGTGCGGGAGGGAGAGGCGTTTTGAGGACGTGTTCGTGGCGGGGGAGAAAACGATTCGGGACGTCGACGCGAGCTGAATACTGGCAACAGTCTTGTACGGTCGGTCTCGAGATGGGGGGAAGTGCTCAATGGCTGGCTATACTTTACTTGGGGGAGGGCAAATCTGGGAACGGTGGTGGTGATATCGTCGGCGAGCTGCTTGCGGCGGGTGCGGGTGCGGGTGCGGGCTGCTTGAGAGACGGCAGGTCTGACCGACGGCGGGTGAACGCACGCCTTCAGGGCGCGACTACCGCTGCCTTTGGCGTCCCGCGAAGGACCCCACACACTTTCTCTTCTCTCTCTTTTTCTTTCCTACTTCCCACTTCAGCGCACATATACTAAATCCCTTCCTCTCCCCCAGCTCAACAAACTCCGCTGGCCAAGCAATAACCGAAACCATCGACGTAACAAACACCATCCCCGCCGGCGCCACCATCAGCTCCTCCCCGGGCACCATCAACCGCACCACGACAAACCACACCCCCGCAATCGCAGGCGGCGTCGTCGGCGGCGTCGCGGCCCTCATCCTCATCGGCGCCATCATCTGGTTCCTGCACCGCCGCGCAAAGGAGCGCGAGCGCGAGGCGGCGTTTGACGGGAACTTTGACCCGGGGAGAACCACTGGCTTGAATGGCGCAGGCGGGGTGGGCGAGGGCAAGCACGGGCACGGGCCGACGCTGCCGCGCGTGAATGGGGGGTTGGCGGCGGAGGAGGAGGACGATGGGGTTGGGGGAAGGTTGGCGGGGAGTAGTATTGGGGGTGGGGTGGTTACGCCGTTTATGGCGGGCGCGGGGGCGGGGTACGCGGCGGCGGGGCATGGGGGGCACCAGCCGCATTCCATTTACCCGGACCCGAACGCGCATTTGCCCGCGCAGCAGCAGCAGCAGCAGCAGTATCTGCATCCTGGGGGGTACGACAGCGACGCGCCGACGAGCCCGACGACGACGACGAGCTATTACCCGACGGGGTCGTCTGCGCATGCTGGTGCCGGTGCTGGGTACCCCGCGAGCTCCGCGTCGTCTGCGGGCGTCGCGGGCGTTGGGGGGTACTACCCGAACCCGATGAGCGCGAAGGAGCGCGAGGCGCGCGGGTCGGGGATGTTTGGCGTCGCGAATCCTGGGCCTGGGGGGCCGCAGATGGCGCAGACGCACCATACCGGTGGGTCGGGGTCCGGGTCAGGGGCGGGGGG